GTCAATTTCGTTGATTATGAGAAGGCGTTTGACAGTGTGTATATGAGAACATTATGAAAACTTTTTCGACACTGTGGAGTTCCTGATAAGATCGTCAACACAATCCGGAATTCATACCACGGAGTGCACTGCGAAGTCGCGCACGGACGACAGTTGACAAATGAATTCCAAGTAAGGACTTGGGTCAGAAAAAAATGACGTCATATACCATGATAGGACCGATCCTATTTGTCCTGTCATTAAACTCAAATGGTTTGGTATCAAGTCACCATTAACCGGTAGGCCCACTCCGTATAGAAAAAACGATTTTCTAAGATCGGGGTGAGCTTCATTTTTTCTCGGGCTACGGAATGTACTAGTGGAGTCCCTCACAGTTCAGCACTAGGACTTCCTCATTCCCTAATTTGTATAAATGACCTTCAGCAAGTATCAGTTTCAGTTTGGGAAGGACAGGAGGCTCGATGGCCTATGTTAGTCCTGGCAATGGTGGTCTCTCAGTTGATCCAACTTTCTTTTGAAAGAGTCGACGGATGGAGCCTCAACCACGTGCTGAGGTAATAAATTCCACTCGTTGATGATTCGATGGGAAAGTCGATAGTCAGCTGACAAGTAATTTGTTCTCGGCTTATGAACTTTTTTGGAGTGTCCTCGTAAATTCTCTGTTTTGGAAGACAAGAAAAATGAGGGCATGTTAGGTAGAAATTTATCACTAAGCAATTTGTAGACTGTAATCAAGTCGCCTCTAGTTCTGCGATATGACAACGGGAAAAGGTTCAGCTTGGCCAGTCGAGATTTATATGGAAGCTTCGCTATTGCGGGAACCAGTTTAGTCGCCGTTCTCTGAACCTTTTCCAGAAGCTCACTGTCTTTTTTAAAGCAGGGGCTAGCCGCTTGTATGCAGTACTCAAGTTTAGGACGAACGAACACTGTATACAAAGTCAAAAACGTCTTAATGTCGACATGACTAAAAGCCCTACGTATTGACCATAACGTTCTAAAACTTTTGGCGGCTATTGCACGGCAGTGTGCAGTAGTCTTTAAGTCTTAACTAACGATAACTCCTAAGTCATTATATGTCTGGACGACAGGTAGCTCAGTGTTTTTCATCGTGTACGTATCTGTCCCTTGATGACCGATATGCATCACAACACACTTGGAAGTATTTATCGGCAACTGCCATGTTTGAGACCATTCAGATAACTTCTTCAGGTCATTTTGAAGTTCTAAGCTATCACTCTTACATCGTATCGTTCTCCATATCTTGACATCGTCAGCATATGGCAAGACCGATGATGATAGGAGACAAGGAAGGTCATTCACATACAAGAGGAATAGCACTGGCCCCAAAACTGTACCCTGGGGCACTCCACTAAGCACAGTTTCCCAGCTAGATAACTTTGAGTTCACCCTTACTCTTTGTTGACGCCCAACTAGGAAGTCTTTTATTCACACCAATAAATTACCTCCAATCCCGACATGTCTTAACTTATATAACAGCCGGTTGTGCGGAACTTTATCAAAAGCTTTACTGAAATCAATGAAGGCGACGTCTACAGGTAGCTTTTGGTCCTTAAGAGCACACCAGCTTTCACGAGCCACTAATAAGTTAGTGTGACAAGAATAACCTATTCTGAAGCCATGCCGCTTCTCCGAGAGGATCCGGTTTTTATCGAGATACTTAAACAGCTCCTTCCGAATAATCTTTTCTAATATTTTAACAACCACACTAGTTAGGCTAACGGGGCGGTAGTTCTCAGGTTTGTGTTTCGTGCCTGTTTTGAAGACAGGACTTACTATGGCGTTTTTCCAATCTTTCGGTAAGCGACCCTGCGTAACGGATAGGTTAAAGCATGTACTTAAAGGGTTCGCAACGAAGTTAGATAATTCCTTCAGTAGCCTAGGATGTAATTCATCGGGCCCCGTGGATTTACCTATGTCAAGCTTATTTAGCAGACCAAAGACATCGAGTTCTTTAATGGTCACGCTATCCAGTGTATGTATGGGGGGATCTGTATACGCTGACGAGAAGGGCGCTTCTATGGGATACACGTCGCTAAAGTAGTTCGAGAACGCTTGAGCCTTACCAAAGTCGTCCTCCACTAATGATGAAGCAGTACTGTCTCCCCATAGAGCAGGAATATTTCTTTTTCTCCTTGTCCTTTGGTTTATATAGGAATACAAGCGTTTAGGACATTCTATGGATTCCTTAACAAGTTTTTCTTCGTACAATTTTCTAGACTTACGGAGGGTCGAGGCACAAGTGTTCCGAGCCTTTCGATACTGAGATTTTGACTCATCAGTCCCCAGTAACCTAAATCTATCCCACGTTTTCCTTTTCTTACGGAGAAGGATACGGACCTCCCTACTGAACCATGGTGGTGAGTTTTTCGGCCCCTTTGGTATAGTCCAAGGGATGTGAGGTGTGGTAACTTTTAAGTATGATTTTCGAAATGCGTCCCAGGCCGTTTCAATGGAGGACTCTGGGTCTATTGTCCAATCTATTAACGATGCTGAGTGCATGATGTCTGGTATGTTTGCTTTCCAGACGTTGGGTCTGGACTGGACTGACGCGTCCTCATGACTGGCAGTTATATGGAAGTCGAGAGTTAAAACTGCGTGGTCACTTTTACCTAAGGGTGGCATATGGTGGAGGTTCGCAACATCATCCTCATAGTGAGTCAGTATAAGATCTAATAAGGATGATTCAGTGTCCGGGTCGTACCTAGTCGCTTCTTTCACATGTTGCACTAGGGCACATGTGATAACCGCATCAACTACTTCCTGCTCGAAGGAATTTTCTGACGATTCAGTTCGCAGATTTTCCCAGTCTACCATAGGTGCATTAAAGTCCCCTAGGATTAGACATCGACCACTTTGGGACCAAGTATTGAGACTGCTTAACAGGGTCTCATTTGCCTCACAGCTTGGACTGCGATAGACCAAACCAATCAGCAGCTCTTGACCCTTGCATTTCAAGTGGAGACCAACTAATTCACACGTCCCACTCTCATGGGATACACCTCGATAATGGCGAATGGGATAGCATTCCTAATGAATAGAGCTACTCCCCCTCCTTTGCGCTTTTGTGTTCTGTCGGCCCTTACTAACGTAAAGCCCTCGAAATCAAGTTCTATACTATCTATAGCCTGTGTCAGCCAGGTTTCTGTTACTGCGATTATATCTGGCTTTGTAGAGTCAATCTGTACACCTAGTTCCGATCGCTTATTAAGTAAGCTTCGTGCATTGGTGTAACAGATCCGAAGCCTCTTTAAGTGCCTTCGTGCTTCACCCAGAGTGGCTTCGGCATCATTCTCTGTCGAAGTCTTACAACCCGAAAATTTACAATTTTCAGGTCCTTTTCGCCAGCGTCTAACCTATGTTGTAGTTCTTTCTCGGCTTCCCGTCTTTTAACACGGTCTGCCAACGGTAGGTCCTTTCGGATAAAGACTCCTGAACCCTTCAATTTGTGTCCATTTTGTAAAATTAGGTCACGTTCGTTTGAAGAGCCGAATACTACTTTAAGCAGTCTGGAATGATTTGGTTTCGAGTCCGTTAGACTCCCTAGTCTATACACCTTTAGCAAGGTGACCCCAGTCATATTTTGAGGCATGAGTTGATTAAACAGCTGCCTAATCAGTACAATGTCATGCTCAAAACGAGCTTTAGGTTCAGAGCTATCGCTCTCCTTAATTCTATGAAAAATAGCTGATCTGTCGCTATGATCAGCTTTCGATTTTTCAACCACTTTTACGGGGGCAGGTTTCCCTTTTATATCAATACTTTTCTTCCTTACAACCTTTACCCATTCGTCAACGCTGCTTGTAGAAGCAATAGCAGTTGCGTCAAACCTAGTGTTGGGTTTTGGGGGGTTGTCGACGACCTGAGGGGTCGTGTTATGTTTACCATTTGAAACCGATCGAGCCTTGCGATTGCGGCTCCTAGGTGTTTCCTGTTGGATCCCATCTGGGAGACGGGGAACAGAAGACCCTACTTTTCTTGAGCTTTTTTTAAGGCAAGCCCTTTTGGAGACTGCTTTTCCTTCTTTGACGGGCGTGAGTTATCTATCACCGGACTAACCTTAGTTTCCTTCACGTTGATTTGCGTGTCAACAGATCGAGTGCTGTTTGACGCGTTCCGACTATGCTTGTTGAAACACTTCTTTGCAGCATCAACCAGTGAGATGGCCTCGGTTAACAAGCTGTTTGCATCCGAGCAGCACTGTTGACAAAGCCACACACAACCCTTCTTACTGAACCGTTTGAAAGCAGCAGGCGTTAAGTTCGTGCAAACTTCGTGGTACCAGCCTTTGCACTCGTCGCACTGCATGCCGCTTTCAACAGGATAACGACAACCCGGACGTTGGCAACTGCTTTTTTTACACTGTCCGGTCATTTAGGAGGGGTTTTTTTCAATATGCGATGATACCCAGAAACAAAAAAATTATCAATGACCAAAAAAAGTGAAGAGCTGTAGATTGCTAGGACCAAAAGTACTAACAGATACAGTTGAAAAAGAGGTACTAAAGAGTACCGACGACAAAACAGTAAAAACGATACTTTAGTCGAATATTTTAACTGAAATAAATTCAATGAAAGTGAAAAACAGTAGTCTTGATACGTAATAAACGATCAAAACAATGAAATTTACACAGCGAGGAAAAATACCACTGTCCTTTTTAAATAGCGCGCGGGTTCACATAGCCCGATTTTTTACTTTTCGCTGAGGATGTGAAACTTTTGAGAGATATTTTCTACTGAGATGATAAGTCGGCACTTCAGGATGATCCGACTCGACTTCAAGGTTGAGAGGACAACAACGGACTCCCCTGTGACAGGTCAAAGTGTATTTATAGTGAAAATTCAGGTTGTTGTAATTACCATACTTGTAGCTACATTACTTTTAGCGAAACACGTTTTGGAAAGTAACAAAATTTCAAGAGCACTTATTATTTTGCTCAGAACGATCACATAACTCTTGGTGTTTAAGTCTATAGTTTTAGTCAAGGTTTTAAAACTGTAGGTCGAGTGGTGCTCGTTGGGGCCAGGATGGAAAATATCAGCGATGATGAACTGCGATCAGCTTTGTCTAGATATTTAGATGTTGTTCCACCAGTGACAGGTAAGCCTTTGGCTTACATTAGTGTGAAAATTAGAATCAACTCGAGCAACTTTGATCGCTAAGCTGAAAAAGTGCATATCAAATGGTTCTGAGAGTTTATTAAAGGATACTCCACAAAACGTCGTAGATAATCTTATCAACGTAACAGAAGATAGGTAACTGAGTGCGAAAGCTTAATTTTCCTCTGTAGACCAATACAGACTTTAATTTCCGACAATAATCATGAATCACCGAAATATGAGACGACTGAGGTACTACAGAGGTAAGTGGTTTTCATTAATTTACGGAGTAAATAATCATATTTTTAAAATATCTGGTCACAATCAAAAAATGTCTGTGTCTAATCTAGTGGTCAGACTGTTTCTTTAGGAGAATGGTAGTGTCCGAAATTCGATGAATTCCAGATCTTTATCTATGCCAAGGTGACTTCCCTTGGTTTCACTACTTAACTGTCGACTGATATCCAAGTAAATCACCTCCAAGTGTCAATGGATCACTATGTAGGCCCTCTCAGTTATTGTTTGAAGTTGGCTAAATACTTGAGAAGGTTAAGACAGAAGGGTTTGTTCGGGATGCCTGTAGTGTTAGCTCGTCAACGTCATGCATCAATGAAAAGACCAATAAAGCTCACTTTAAGTATAATCAAGTCTGATTGTTGGGACGGGACTTAGTCGCCTGCATTTTAACTAGCCGAACCTATTATAAATCGAGACCACTGTCTTTTTGTCCACTCACTGTTGTCTGATAAAATGACTTCCCTTGTGTCGCACCTAACTTGGTAAAGCATCGGAAAATACCCCTATATGGTAGGTTTTATAGCGTCATGTTGAGTGTAAGGTCACCAAAATGTCTCAATACTAGTCAGTCGGTAAGTAAATCCGTGCTCCTACCCGTTAACCATAGTTGTATTAAAACTAATGATCCCCGAACTTCTTGTATCATCAAATATTTCATAACATGTCAGTTATGAGCCACTTGAGTACCGTTATTCCTCATAATCAGTGTGGCTTAATTAACACATAGTTTATCACTTAACGTACCCTGCTTCACTACGTAATAAATTCAAAGCCTGGCTTATCTGCTTCAAGTTTGGCGAGCGTGTCAGTCAGTCAGCTACAACGTAGGACCAGACACATATGTGCATCGGTCCAGGTTGCCATACCGCATCAGCACACAAGATGAACACCGGATTCACAGCAGTGGTTAGGTCAAAGGTGGTAATATATAAGAGAAAGATTGCATATAGAGATATAGTACAAGAAGAAAGAATTGCTTCGTAGAAAGAAAGATATGAAGTGATTTTAATCTCTTAGTTTAAGGGAAGACAGGAAGTGTATACACCGACGCCATTGTGATCGATTCTGAGCCATGCCACCCAGAGTCTTCAACCATTGGTTACGATAGTCACGCGGACCGCAACCAAGTAGTCTGCATCTACCAACATGACTCAGACTAGAAGTTAGTGACTTCAAGCACTGATGCCACGTTTTGCTTTGGCCGCCCCTAACTTTCTTCCAACCATCCCCTACACCGGATAGCATTGCACGTCGTGGTAATCGGTGTTCAGGCATACGTAACACGTGGCCCAACCATCTCAGTCGATGAAGATTCACAACCTCATCAACTGATTTACCATCATTCCCTAATACCTTGCGTTTAACCTCAATATTACTTACCCGGTGATCCCAGCAGACGCCAGCAATATTTCTAAGGCATCTGTGGTCAAATACTAATAGCTTGCGAGTGTCTTCTACTCTTAAAGGCCATGTTTCGCTGCCGTAAAGTAAAACAGAACGGACTGCCGCGCAGTATACTCGCGAGCGTGTAATATTACAAGACCTCACACAAATGGTATGGCTCGAATCCGAGTAGATAAAACTTCCGATAAATAAGTTTAATTCAGTGTATGCATCAGTATATAATTACCGGACGTTAATTTTAAATACATTTCCTCCTGATTGCTGAAATTGCGTGATATGTCACTGAATTTTATCTACCAGTAATATTCATTTCTTCGATAGTTTAGCAATGTCTTTCAAACTTAAAGAAATATAGTGTATTATTTTCAAATGATGCAAATAAAAATGACTTGGTGGATAAGATTTCTACTGTAATGCTGCTTGCCAACACCCCACTAGTATTGACCCAGCCTTTATCGCTCCCTGCTTAAAAAGCAAATACTTTCTTCAGTCTTCAGTAATAAGGATAGGAGGTCTATCGACCTATATTAATCCTTGCAGTTTGTAATACTGTGGAGGTCCAACCTCGTTTTGAATATATTAACAGACGGTGCTGATATTACGTGTTCCGGTAGAAAATTCACTACTCGGTGCGAGAAACGGAACTCCAGACGTAAACGGTTTGATCTCGGTTTTTGAACTTTCTTCGAATGTCCTCTCAAATGATCGGTTCTAGACGGAAGCAAAAGATAAGACATGTTAATACCAAGGTCATCGTTCAGTATACGATAGGCCAATATTAGATCACCCCGTATTCTACGGTAAGATAACGGAAATAAGTTAAGGTGTCTCAGTCTGTCTTCATAAGATAGGCCAGATAGACCTTGTACCATCTTAGTAGTTCGTCGTTGGACTCTTTCTAGCATATCCGCTTCATACTTGAAACAAGGACACGCTGCTTAAATCCCGTATTCTAAATGTGGTCGCACATAAATCGGGTATAGTAATCCAAACATTTCATCATCTAAATACTGGAAAGACCTACGAATGACCATAATACCCTATAGCCTTTTGCAGCAGCAGCCTTACAGTGACTATTCGTTTTGAGATCATTGCTTAATATGACTACTAAATCTTTATAGTTTCTTGCTTTGGGTAGCACGAATCCACGTAGTGTATAGTCATACGATTCATCAGAGTTATTTAACTGCATCACTACACTCTTATTAGGATTTACTTCTAGTGACCACCTGTCTAACCATGCCACCAATGAGCTAAGATTGTCCTGTAATAATATTCTATCCGACATACTATGTATGGGTCTCCAAATCTTTATGTCATCAGCGAAGAGTAGAACGGGTGATTTTACTACAGTTGGGAATTCATTTACATAAAGTAAAAAGAGAAGAGGACCTAGGATTGTACCTTTGGGAACCCCACTTTTTACAGGTACCCACGAGGAGAGAGCCCCATTAACCCTTACCCTTTGTCTCCTATCATGGAGAAAGTTACTTATTCAATCGACGACTGTATAATGGATTCCAAAACGTTCCAGTTTGAATTTAAGACCAGAGTGGGAAACCTTATCAAAGGCTTTACTTAGATCTATGAAAATCGCATCCACAGGGGGCATTCCGATCCTTTGTAGCAGCCCAATCTTCTCGTGCAATGACAAGATTTGTCAAGCAAGATAGGCCTTTCCGAAAACCATGTTGTGCCCTGGAGAAAAGATTTCGCCCTTCAACATAGTTTATAACAGCTATCCGAATGATTTTCTCCATCAGTTTTACAACTGCACTAGTTAAGCTAACGGGTCTATAGTTACTAACTAAATCCTTACTCCCAGCCTTATACACCGGACTTATTATAGCATCTTTCCAGTCTCTAGAAAGTATGGACTGTCTCAGAGACATGTCGAATAGTATCGCTAATGGTTCAGCAATTTCATCTGATATGGCTTTCATAATCCTAGGATGAATATCATCACGACCACTGGACTTATCAGGTTTGAGATGCTGAAGTAGCCTTAAAACAGTATCTTTCTCAATGACTACAGGATCCATCAGCGAGCCGTCACAGTGGCGATGAATCGTTGGTCGTTCCTCATTACCGATAGAAAACACTTTACTAAAATATTCCGATATACGTGTCCCTTAATTGATAGATGAATATCCCGCCTTCGCCATAGGTGACGTAAGTTGGCAAAAGCCAACCGAGCTTTTCGAATTTGTGCTGAGATTTCGTCAGACACCAACCCATCAGAGCTGATCAGACTTCCAAGATAAGTGAAGATGTCAACATGTTCGACTACTTCACTCCCTATCCTTAGTTGAGGTGTTGACGCAGACCAGTCCTGAAGCAACAACTTGCATTTAGAGGGGGAGAAACACATCCCAGACATTCTGGTATTGTTGCTCAGTGCTACCAAAAGACTGCATTTTATCAGCATCCTCACCAATCAGGACTATATTATCTGCGTATTCTAAGTCGATAAGTAGACCTCCTGGAAGGTTGTGGTGGTCGGTATTCCATATAATTCTTAAACTTCGTATACAGTACGTCTTGATAACCTTCACTAGATAACACCACAACGGTATATTAATCAGAAGGCGAATACGAAGTGTTGATTATGTTTATTATGGGACCACACACACAGATATCCAAAATTACAGGTGCGTTAAATAAGCATGAAAGAGTTGTGCCGAAAGGCAAGCGAGTGAGTCAGCGAATATGAGTACGAGTAAGTGAATACACTTGAGCAAGAGAGAGCAATGAACATGAATAACATGGACATATATATACATAGTGAAATGAATGAATCAATTAAGTGGTTAGTAGTAAGGCTAGCAGCAACCATACATGTTCATATATTCGCAAAAATAATAAAGATACAATGATATAGATCAGTTGTTGTTGTACGGATGACTCAGTTCGTTAATAAGTTAACAAAATGAATTAACCGAATTAAATGTGAATCAACTAAATTACACGTAAGTTGCTACAAGGTGATCAGTGCTCGAAAATTCAGTCGACGAGAACGTTATTTCCAGCGGTAGGTATCTGATGAAATTGAACACAAATGGAAACATTGGACAGCCTTGACGGACACCGCCTGAGGTCACAAAATCACAAGACAGTTCGTCATGAGCTTTCACTCTATTAGTACTGTTTGAGTAAACAGCCTTTACAAAGTTATGTACTTCTGCATTGCCACAGAACCTCTTGGTCAATAGAGTCAAGTGCTGCTTTTAAGTCGAAAAAGACCAACATTATCGGACACCGATAAGCATGTCCGTGCTCTAGAGCCTGACGAATGGTGAATATGTGGTCGATGCAGCCACGACCAGTTCCGAAGACAGCCTAATTTTCTCGTGTTTGCAGTTCACGAGTCTTAGTTAGGCGTATGATAATTATTCAGGCCAGTATTTTAGATGTTATGTCAGTCAAACTAATCCCTCTATGGTTATCATAGGATGACTTTGTCCCCTTATATATTGGGACGATCAGTGAATGTAACCAGTCAGATGGGATTACGTTCAACTCCCAGATTGTAGCCAAAATATTAGTCAAACTAATCGCTAAA